GAAAATACAAAAAAACATTTTATTTTAACATGAAAATATCACAAAAATTAGTAAGCCTGAGATGTAGGGTTTTGGTGAAAAACAAGAGGCTTGTAGTGTTTTGGCTGCTGATAAAGATGCATGTATTGATAGCTGGGGTGAAAAGCAGAAGAATGCACTTATTTCTTCTGCATGTCAGTATCTTCAGACACAGTAAGCCACATGCACCCTTTCTTTCCTTGTTAAACAGAGGCCAGTTTGCTATTCTTAGTTCCAGCGGAAGTGGATCTGACGTGGGCGATCAGCACCTTCCTTTACCAATGGCTTATGGAACTCACGTCCAGCACGAGAGTGGATATTTGCCCAACAGAACTCACAGTAATACTGCAGGCAAGTGACATTGGCACAAAAAAAGGGAGCAAATTTTCCACCACAGCGTGCGCCCTGGCATTCATCACACATCTGGTCATCTAGCACATATGGCTTTACCTCCACCTTGAAAAAACAGAAAAGAAGTCTCGTTAGGGTCTGCTTCAGAAATCAAATTCTCTAACAACTTAAAATTGTTTCTATAGAGGAAAAAAAGGACCAGCACTAAAAGGTGAGGAAATGGGCAGTTTCTCAAAGAAGGAGTAGGTCTGAGAAACTACTCCTTTACCATGTAGTAGGTTAAAATACTTTAAAAATCTATAAAAATCTGATATTTGCAGAACATTCCATGCTCACCTTTCTTGAATATCATCTTTGAAAAACCTGTGTGCTGGTATTTTCAGAGTTGGGGGGGATTGTGAGTGAAAAACAAAAGAGATATCAATTATTCATGGAAGGGTTTCCACACCCTTTTCCCTCATTCCAATACCACCTGTGAGGTGGCAGAACCCAAACTGCCACTGATTAGGGCAGCGCTTCTCCACTGCAAGTGAAAGTCACACTCTGCTTGGAAATAACTGGCACAGACGAGCCAGACTGTGGAGAATCTTAAAAAGAGCATGCCTAGACTTCCGAAAATTTGTAAGATATAAAGTCCTACTAGTCCTGTTGTGAAGGTCTGACTTGGCAGAACACTTCAGATCAGAGTCAGCTCTGAAAGATAAACTTTTCTACCTCAGTTTTCACATCTGTCAAGTGAGAATAACAGATTCTGTCTCAGAGTTGTGCAGCGTAAACTGTGAATGTAAAAGCATAAGAAAGCGCTTAGCACACGGTAAAATAGTCTATAAATCAGTATTAGCCTATTATTAGTTGCAATAGCCTTGCTTTCCTGCTTGTGATAACTTTATGAATGGAAGGTTTTTACCTTTGGCTGAAAAGTGCCAGATAGCCTAACAGCTCAGCCATTCCTTAGGAGATGACAGAACACTGAACGTTCTGAAGAACTGGATTGAGATCAAGTAAAGGTTGCCCATAGTAAAAAATAATGATTTGACAATTTGTATTCTGAATGTATTCTATTGAAATACTTGCATGAGTGCAGAAAACGAATATAAAGGTATTTTCTGTAATGTTATTTGTAAGAACAACAACAAACTAGAAACAACCTAAAAGTTGATTAAAAGAACTGTAGGATGTTCATTTAATAGATAGGTAATAGAATTACATTGTTGTTTCTATTTCACTGATTATGATTAATATATTTTATGCATATTAGACACAGCTTTTCTGAATTGCTTGTCTGTACTTTTTGTATGTTTTGTTGCTGAAGTATTTTTTGTTTTTTAAAATTGATTTATGAGTTCTCTTTGCCAGTTAAGAATTTTTAAACTTTTTTCCAGGGGTTTTACAATCTTTGACACAAACTTTTAAAATTTTTATGCTTGATCTTTATCTCTTAACTTTTTCCTTTATCGGTTCTATCTTTTATTTGCCAAGTTGCTATTTTTGATTTATTATCTTCATTACAATTATAGTTATCATAAAAAAATTATGACCCAAGAATAAATCAAGATGGCATGAGAGTTACTGGATTTCATCTCACTGAATTATAAACTCCACGAACACAAGAACAGCACCCATTTGCTCAATGTTCAGTTTCCAGTGCCTAGAAGAATATCTAACACGAAGTAGAAATGCTAGAAATATACGAGTGAATGCAATACATTTACATATGTTTTCTGGGTTTCTTTCTCATGTTTATTTCTTTTTGTTGTTGTTGTTGTTTTTTTTTCTTTTCATAAGATTTTAGGCAAATTGAAACCAGGGTCTGTGATGTCGACTTCACTTCCACAATACCTGATAAAATGCCAGATTTTCAGGAGCTACATGTTTTAATATAAAACTGTTGAACAAAAATTTTACAAATGCAATGATTTCAATTATAAGTATTTTTTAAATTCTAGATATTAGTTTATGAAGCTAAGCTACTTAACTCAAAATCATACACTGTAAAGATGGAAAATTGAATTTCAAAATCTATTTTGATTAATAATCTCTAATAATTAAACTCTTCTGTACATGAAAGGAGTTTCATTGACACTTTACCTAGTCTTGTATTTTAACATTTACTAGAAGTCACAGTGAATTATACTACTCATGAAATAACATACAAAAAATATAATGAATTACACATCTGTGTTGATTGTGCTTTCCAGCTATCAGATAGAACTAAACCACAGTATCCATCAGCGTAAACAGTAAGTGGAATAAACAATTTTCATTTTCTCCAAATAAGTATCCTATGTATCCTTGAGTTGGTACTTACACACTTAAATTTATTCGATTTTTATGGCTTAATAGCCATATTCATATTGGAGAGATGAAAGGTATAAAGGTTAATGGTTTAATATTTCTTTGTGTAAGCAATATTAGTGACTTGTAAAATACTTAAGGCTCAAATTCTTTCAAATACAGTTGAAAATTACCTTTGTAGTACATATCTTAGAAAATAAGCTTTTCCCTAAGGTATTTCAATGCCTTTTCAAGAAGGCACGTGTATCTTAATTCATCTGCTCTGCAACTGAGTTGCTCTTGAAGAGTCAATACTTTGCTCCAAATAACTGGTCCTTCACTATCATTTTGGAAACAAAGAGGTATGAGGTATGACACTGCAACAGTCTTTTTCTTCTGCACTGCACTAAACACCCTGATTATATACTATGTAAATAACATCCTCTGTGACCTATCACCTCTCTGTAAAAGTAGGGAATTAGGCTAGATCAGCAGCCTAAAGCACTGCTATACATTTGTTACTTTCAGAGCTTTATAAACTCCTGTTGTTGAGGCTGCCTCTCAGACCAATTCAGCAGAACCTCAGAGGGTAGGACCCAAATATCAAGATTTTTCTAAGTTCCCAGGTGAATAAAGTACAGCACAGGTTGAGAACACAAGACTCGAGGAACTCTTAACATTCAGACAAGTTTAGAAAGGTTATCTATGCATGTCTTATCAAAAGCAGAGAACCTCACCTTATTTGGCAACCAAAATTTTAAGTAGCAATGCAAACAAACAAAAAAAAAAAGCCACTCTGCATTTGTGAACTGAAACAATGCTGCATTTCTTTTCTAATGGGATGGCTGGGTAAATACATTGAGGACTAGTTCTAGCATGCATGATCTAGTCAACTGGTATTAGTTAACCAGCTTCCCTGTCCTGAAAATAGTCTTTTAACGTGCCAAACAACCCCAGAAGAGGATTCAAGAAACTGTTATATTGGGAAAAGGTGTACCCACTCAAATTATACCTTCTATCTACTAATTTGGATATAAAAAATTCATTTACCTCATATTCTTAGTGTATTTCTGCTGAACTATAAATATCATTATTTTAGAATATGCTTAGGTATGTATAGGAATTGTTCACAGATTTTGGCATAAAACAGATTTGTAAATGAATACTAGAGCCTTTCCCTACTCTAGAAGGTAGTCACTACTTGGAATTATTCAATAGGGTTTCAGTTATCATTCCTAGTACTTAAAAGTTCTTACTGTGATGATTCAGGCAATGCTACTCAAAAAGAAATATTTAAGTGTAGGCCAATTATTTTAGAGAAATATACGTGATGCATTTTTATTTTAGACTTTGTGACAAAGAAAACAAACATTTAAATAACATTCTGTGCCAAGTTTTATTCTAAGTGTTTGTGTATATGTGAATTAATTTAGTCCTCAAAACTGAGAAAGACATATTATCATTGTTTTCCATTTTACAAGTGAGGAAAAAGGCACAGAGAAGGTAAATTTGTAGAAATGGGATTCAATCCCAGGCAGTCTGACTCCAAAGTACAGGCTCTTAAAACAACCTCTGCCTCCATGGTTAGAATATTTGACCTTACTGGCTGATAAAAATTTTTTGACATGGCTGTACAATGACATTAATATTTTTTATATTATACCTAAATATAAAGTGTGTTCAGGAATTTTACATTTCAAGGATATTTTTATCCTTTATATTTTTATCCTTTAAGACTTAAAGAAGTTAAAAACTAAACAGTGTTTGAATTATATTATTAACTCTTTAGTGTATGACACTTTGGATCAGCACATTATTATAGGACATAAGTGATTTCCCAATATGCAACTTACACGTTTATCAATATCACCGTGCTGAAGCTGAACAAACCGAGCACTAATGGCAGCAATATAGCTCTGCTGATTGGAGAAAGCAACTCGCCCAGCACCTTTTGGGTATTTTAGCTCAGGATCTGTATCAATTCCTGCATAACAAACTCCACCATATAGCCGGTCCATGATCATAGCAAGTTCCACTTCAAGAAGAAAAGAAGTTTATGTCAAATGTGAGAAAACACAGTAATCAACAATTTTTAAGCACTTTTTGGAAAACATAGAAGTCAACTGTATATTATCATTTGACCAGGAGTAGAATGGCAGATTAAGAGGCTGTTGTTAGAGGAGGACTGGGATCAAGGATGGCTTTTTTTTTAGCTATAAAGTGACTCACTGCCATCACATCTTCCTACTTACTAGCACTAAACCCACTATATACCCTGTATTGTCCTATAGAGAAATAGTTCCACACTCTTTCCTAAATCCAATCCTTTTACTTGCATACTAGATCCCATCCACTCTCACTAAGAAGAGATACTGCTTCAGCAATTCTCCCCTTTCCCTTATGTACCACCAGTTTTCCCTTATACAAGCTCATTCCCATGTACACTATAATTTTCCTATCTTAAAAAAAATTCTCATAACATTGTTTTCCCTCTCAGTTACTACTTCATTACTCTGTTTCCCTTTACAAACAAAATTTTCAAAATCTGTTTCAGTATTCCCCAATTCCTCTCCTCCCATACTTTATTCAACTCTTTCTAATCAGACTACCACACCATGACTCCACTGTAATTGTTGATGCCAAGTCCAATGGTCAATCTATCTGTAAGTACCATTGAATACAGTTAATCCCTTCCTTCTCATTCAAATATTTTCTCCATCTGGCCTCTGGAATATATTAGCCCACCAATTCTGCTCCTACCTCACTGATAAATTTCTTCTGAGTTTTCCTTGGTAGTTCATCCTAAATTCCTTAACTTTTTGATGTCAGAGTACGCTAAGTTTCAATCCTTGCAAGAGTACCCTAAGTTTCAATCCTTGCAGCATTGTCTATGCTCCTGGATTTGGTAATTTCATCCTGTATCATAGCTTTAAACACCATCTATATGTTTTTAAGCTCCTACATTTGTATCTCTAGTATGGACATCTTCCCTGGACTCCAGACTCATATATGCAACTGTCTACTGGACAACTCGATATGTAACAGGCACTGGCCACACTCAGTATGTTAAAAATGGAATTCATAATCTTCTTCAATCCCATTAAACTTGCTCCAGTGAGTTTTTGCTGACCCAGTTAGAAAGGAACAGAAAAGATGAAGTTGTCAAGTCAAGATCTTTGGCTTCATCTTTTCTGTATTCTTCTCTTGCTCCCTAGCACACATATAATCAGGTGAACTTGATTTTCAAGACCTATCTAGAGTCCAATCTCCTCACCTCCATCACTAACATCCTGATTCAAGCTAACATCATTTTTCATCTTGTTCATGGCAATAACCTTATCTCTTTGCTTTTGACCCTTGCCTTCTCAGCTTGTTTTTAAAACAGTATAATGATTCTCTTTAAAAATGTATCAGATACCACCAACAAAATATAACAAAAATATATCAGATATCATGGTTTAATTGAAATTTCTATTTGAGAACTCTGAATGGTGCCATAAACTTAGGTTCAAAATCAAGACCATGATCTACCCTCCCAATCTGTTCTTCCTCCAGTATTCCTTCCCTCTCAGTAAAAGGTATCACTACCCACCCAGTGGCTTATGACTGAAAGACGAGATTCAGTCTTTGTGTTTACCTAATATCTGTTACCTCTGTTCACCTGGCTTTCTCCTTGCTAGCAGTAATCCAAGCCACCATTGTCTAATTTCCTGGACTGTAATAATAGAATCCTAAACTGGTCTGCCCATATTTACTCTCACCCTGCCCCCACCTCTATAAGTCATTAGCTAAAGTGAACTTTGAAAACTGAAAATATGATCACATCTCTCTTTTGTTTAAAAACTCTTCAATGGTTTACCCTTGCTCTAAGGATAAACACCATGTTAGCCTATTAGACTTGTATGATCTGAATCCTGTCTACTTTTGCAATGTCTCCTTGTGTCCCTTCCATCACTCCTTGTATCCCGAGTCAGCTGCTTTGGGCTTCTTTCAGTCCCTCCAAAGCACAGTTTCCCTCCACACAAGACCTTTAAATAAGCTTTTCCCTTTCTGTGAAACACACTCCTCAGAACCCTACTACCACTCTGATCCTCCCACTTTTGCTCAATCCTTTACATGTCAGTTCAACTACAAATATCTTTAAGATATCAGACTATATAATATTTCCTTGCACACACCCTTCCGTTCCCTACAGTACTTCTCTGTAAAAGTCATCACGTTCTGTAAGTTTACATGTATGAATATTCTTTAACACATATTTTTAAGACTGGGGAGAGGATGTTCTCAGTGATGGAAATCACTAACACTCTACACATGGTATACAGTATCATCTAACATGTGCAAAGTGGGCATATACCTGTACAATTATATTCCTATGAGACATATTTTGGTTGGTTTATAGTTCCTAGTTGTTGATAAACAGAAGTTTATCATCATTAACTTATCTAAAGTGCTACTTCAGTTAATGACTAAAATACTAATAAGAGAAAATAATCCCGTATTTCTTCTTCAGATATCAGAATCAATCAAATAAACAGACTCCAAATTTTCATGTCTTAAGAGAGGTTCACTTAGGAAATCAGAAATATTTAGGTGAATTCTTATAGTTTGCTTGGAGTTAACCAACTACACTAATATTGATAGATAAGTATCCAATTCTGCAGTTTGAGAGTTTCAAGAAGGGGTCTGAGAATATGTTTCAAAATTCTGTAGTTAGCAACTATTGGAACATGAAGAATCTGCTCCTGTTCTGTCCAATAGTGTCATGTACACAATGGCTTCCAAATGTTTATTGACTAGGACATATTTAAATTATTTTTTAAACAAAATTATTAACATTCCACTTACCAGCCCTTAATGGCCGAGGAACACCTCCAACAAAAATTGTTTTTCGGGGATCCAAAGGCTGAGAACCATCCATTACAAAATCACTATCACTTAAATTCCAAGGACGTATTTGAACCTATGAAGAAAATTACATTGGGTCTTACTCCCTTGATGGCTTATGAGGGTTGTTTGTTTTTGTCAGTTAATAGTTATTCTTTTATTGTTTAAAAATTTGTATAGTAGGATTTGGAAACAAACTATTTTCATAACTTTTGATATAGATACTATAAGTCAGCAGTCTCCAACCTTTATGGCACCAGGGACCAATTCTGAGGAAGCCAATTTTTCCAAAGATTAAGGGGGTGGAGGATGGTTTTGAGATGAAAGTGTTCCACCTTGGATCATCAGGCATTAGATTTTCATAAAGAATGTGCAACCTAGACCACTTGTATGTGCAGTTGACAACAGGGTTCACATTCCTATGACAATCTAATGTCATCTCTGATCTGACAGGGGGTAGAGCTCATGCAGTACTGCTGGCTTGCCTGCCACTCATATCCTGCCGTGCAGTCTGCTTCCCAATAGGTCATGGACCAATACTGGTCCACCACCCAGGGGTTGGGGACTCCTGCTATAAATTATCTGGATGTTTCAAAACTAAAACTCAGCGTGGTAGTTTACTTATTATTTTATTCATTAACAACCATTTCAAAACAATTTTGAAAAATTAGCATTTGTAGCCTGAAGTTCATGTGGTATTTACTTACTGGTTTGTCCTTGATGGTAGGGCTAGAAACACACAGATAGAGCTTTCCATCTTCTTCAATACAAGCATCAATTAATGCTTGAACTGAGCTCTCTTCTTGAAAGAGAAGAAATGCATAGCCTGGAATAACAATTAAAGATGAAGCAATATGTCAAGCTAAGTGATTTTACTCCAAATTTCAGTGCTATTTAGAAAATACATGATTTTTTTTGAATATATGTATTTTATTGCACTTTAGGTCCTGGGGTAAATGTGCAGAACATGCAGGATTGTTAGATAGGTACATACATGGCAATGTGGTTTGCTGCCTTCATCTCCCCTTCACCTATATTTGGCATTTCTCCCCATGTTATCCCTCCCCAACCTTCCTACCTCCTGCTGTCCCTCCCCTACTCCCCACCAACAGACCCCAGTATGTGATGCTCTCCTCCCTGTGTCCACGTGTTCTCATTGTTCAACACCTGTGTATGAGTAAGAATATGCGGTGTTTGATTTTCTGTTCTTGTGTCAGTTTGCTGAGAACGATGGTTTCCAGATTCATCCATGTCCCTACAAAGGACATAAACTCATTGTTTGCTATGGCTGCATAGTATTCCATGGTGTATATGTGCCACATTTTCCTTGTCCAGTCTATCACTGATGGGCATTTGGGTTGGTTCCAGTTCTCTGCTATTGCAAACAGTGCTGCAATGAACACGTGTGCATGTGTCTTTATAATAGAATGATTCATAATCTTTTGGATACATACCCAGTAATGGGATTGCTGTGTCAAATGAAATTTCTATTTCTAGGTCCTTGAGGAATTGCCACACTTTGTCTTCCAAAATGGCTGAACTAATTTACACTCCCACCAACAGTGTAAAAGTGTTCCTATTACTCCACATCCTCTCCAGCATCTATTGTCTCCAGATTTTTTAATGTCGCCATTCTAACTGGCATGAGATGGTATCTCAATGTGGTTTTGATTTGCATTTCTCCAATGACCAGTTATGATAAGTATATTTTCATGTTTGTTGGCCTCATATATGTCTTCTTCTGAAAAGTGTCTGTTCATGTCCTTTGCCCACTTTCGAATGTTTTTTTTTTTTTTTCTTGTAAATCTGTTTCAGTTCTTTGTAGGTTCTGGATATTAGCCCTTTGTCAGATGGGTACATTCCCAGATGGATTAAAGACTTAAGCATAAGACCTAACACCATAAAAACCCTAGAAGAAAGCCTAGGTAAAATCATTGAGGACATAGGCATAGGCAAGCACTTTATGACTAAAACACCAAAAGCACTGGCAACAAAAGCCAAAATAAACAAATGGGATTTAATTAAACTCCAGAGATTATGTACAGCAAAAGAAACAATCATTAGAGTGAACCGACAACCAACAGAATGGGAAAAAAAATATTTTTTTAATGGTACAATGACATCCTTTATTCTCACTCACAGACTCAACTTTTTTTTTCTATGTGTTCCTGTGGGAACTTTGTTTGAATATGTGTGGTTTTCAACATTTTGGCACATGAAAGCCTGACAAGTTTTTAAAAGTCAGATGCCGCATCTTTTGAACAGGAAAATCTATGTTTTTTTTTTAAATATATATACATATTTTATTGCATTTTAGGTTCTGGGATACATGTGTAGATCATGCAGGATTGTTGCATAGGTACATACATGGCAATGTGGTTTGCTGCCTCCATCCCCTCTTCACCTATATCTGGCATTTCTCCCCATGTTATCCCTCCCCAACCTCCCTACACTCTGCTGTCTCACTCCTATTACTCCCCAGCAGACCCCAGTGTGTGATGCTCCCCTCCTTGTGTCCATGTGTTCTCATTGTTCAACACCTGCCTATGCGTGAAAACATGCGGTGTTTGATTTTCTGTTCTTGTGTCAATTTGCTGAGAATGATGGTTTCCAGATTCATCCATGTCCCTACAAAGGACACGAACTCATCATTTTTTTATGGCTGCATAGTATTCCATGGTGTATATGTGCCACAGCCCCTTCCTGACACCTTAACACAAAATGAACTCCAGATAGATTAAATACATGCTTTTGAAAAAAACAACTATCAAACAGGACTAAAAACCATTTACCTTTTATAAGAGAATACAATATCCTATGTCATACACATCAAAACACTTATTAAGTAAAGCAATTGGCTACTTTATATACAGCACTTGCTATAACGTACTGTACTAACAACTTTACATGCGTTATTTCATTTAATTCTAAAAAGTCTATGAAATATTATTCCCATTTTATAGAAGAAAAAATCAACGTACAAAACTCAGTCCCATAGAAAGTAGGTGGTTGAAAAATTTCAAACCCAGGTCAGCCCCAAGGTCTCTCACACTTTCTCTAGTAGTGATACTACCTTCTTAAAAAACTTGGCAGAATTAACCAGGTGAGTATATCTGGAACTCAAGTTTCCTATATATGCCTGCAGGGCAATCCAAGTTCTAGGGCAACCTTTTAGACTGGAACACACTTGGAAAGGTTCAGGAAATCCCCTACGCAGAGGAAATGTTCCACAGTCTCATTAAAACTTCTCAATAATACTACGAAAGCTACAATATGAAGGCTGGAATGAAACATGTTCCTTAATAAAACAGGTCAGATGGATCAAAACTTTTAAATCAAGTCTCAACTTAGAAAACAGTAGAATATCTTTTTTAAACTGTTTGAAGACTATCTAGACTTGTAAACAACCAATTGTCAATTTTCAATAAAAGATCATGTATCCAGCAGACAGAATAGACTACATTATAAAAAGAAGGCATCAAAATTTACACTGCAAGTTTACTATCATGTGATTATTCCCAGCAGGTGATAGCTATGAATGATCTATCCCTTACCTTGGACAAGATTTCTATGCGAACAAATGTACAGCATTTTAATCTAGTCCCAATATGCAGCAGACATCAAGCAGGCCATGTATGTCTGTTCCACCATACAATGGGAAGTGTAAGGTCATGCTGAGCTCAAACTGAGCTTATTGTCAATAATGGCTTTATGCCACAAAGGCCTGATGGGACACTAAAGTACTTCATTTTAATAAAATTAAAATACTTGATTGCATAAAATGTATCTGAAGCCATTTCACCCTATATAAATGATTTTACCCTATCCAAACACAGACTTCCAAAGGTAGTCTGTATTAAAAAACATGTCTTAGACAACTTTTTACATTGCTGGAAACAATTTAAATATTCTTGAAAATAATAAAGATTTTTTTAAGGCTTTAATTTTGATACAAAATAAGGATCTGGGAACTATAACTATTTTGTAATAAGAGGATATAAGACCAATTTACTAAAATAGTATATTAAGTTAAATATTTTAATGTTGCCTAATTTTGATAATTTTTGATGTTAATATTTTAATATTGCTTAAGTTTCAAATAATACTTTAAATTCAATATTTTCAATACTGCTTAATTTTTGTTATTAGGAAATAAATGTTTATATTATAAAAATTAATTAGGCCATATCGAGTAAATTATGACTTAGCTAACCCAAGTCATTAGATATAATACTCTTAACAAAAACATACTATATAGCAGCTTCTTTAGAATTTGTTAAAGCAAGCTAATCATTACATAAGGTGAAGATTATTCACTGCAAAGGAAACATGTAGTACATGTGTGGTTCAGCATCTAAAGGTTCTAGTCACTGCTGTAATTATACAGGAAGTTCCCCCACTGGATGCCTCTCTATCAGTGTTTCCCAAACCATGGAAAATGCTGAATTACAGAAATAACAAAATTGCTTGTAAGAACAAGGTTTGAAAATACTGGTCTTCAGAAATGGCTACAATTAACTGTAACTGTATGAAAAAAAAAGTATGATTTGCCAGTGCCAATTTTTTTTTCAATTAAAGAAACTACTGCACAACCATAATAACAATGATGGCAACAACAGCCATAAAGACTATAACTATTCTGTTTCATTAACTTTGTTCCATTCCATCTTTCTAGGCTCAGAGTACACCATCCCTGTAAGGGAACAAGTAGCTCATGCAAAAATGTGCATCTCTCCATTCAAACAATTCCTAATTCCTTTTTAAAATTCTATTTCCTTTTCTGCCTGGAACTCTGTTCAAGTATTTTTTTATCTATCTACATACAGTACCTTAGATTAATTTCAAACCTCTCAGTGAAGCCTTCCCCCATCTACTTGAAGCAATTTCTCCATTCCATAGTATTTTTTGTTGTTCATCTCATTTATCAGGCAGTTAACAATCCGTAAATTATTGACAATACAAATATTCACAAAGGTATATAAAGACACTATTTTATAGACCATTGGAAGAATCTGACATTAATAACCATAAATTTTTAAAGTTGTAAAAATGCAATACTGCAACTGTGATGAGTGCTAGGAGTGAAAGACAGAGACAGCAGTAGAGTTGGGCAGAAGGAGTTAACCTCATTTGGTAGATCCTGAAAGTTTTCTTTGATCAACTTACACTTAAGCTTGAGATACAAAAGATAAGCAGGGAATACAGAGATAAATAGACAGAAGGAAGAGACACCTTTAGCTCAGAGATTATCATACATAAAAGCCCTGAAGCTGGAGAGAACAAGGCCAGTTTGTGGGACTGGAAGGAAACAAGCAGTAATAGGAAAAGAAGCTAGAAAGAAGGCGAGGCCAGGCAAAGTGAATGCATTTTTGCTTTTATTCTAAAAATAAGAGAAATCACTACAGGGTTTACGCAGAGGAGTAAGGAATAGCACCATCCAATGAGTTTTCAGACTGCTTTGGCTAGAATATAGGAGAAAACTGGAGAGGGCTAGAGATATAGATAGACTAGAAAGACAGCTGAAGTAGTCCAGGCTAATGATGATGGTAGCTTAGTCAGGAACATTACAAAATAACTCAATATTCAATAAAAATGGCATTTCTAAAGTAAACTTTATAAAATGGCAAGACAGTAAAACTATGGATAGTGACACTAAAACTAAGCTAATAAATAAACAGCTCTATCTATGTGGAGCTAATTTTCTCTCTAAACCAAGGGTTTATGACCTTCAATCAACTCCAGACTACATGGAGAGAGTTATATAACTTAAACAGATTCTCACAGAGGCCTGGAATCCAGAATCCTCACTCAAAAGATGCTCTTGATTCTATATATACATATAAATCTACAAGTATTAAAAAAAATCATTGCATTATTCCATTTATTTAAAAAACTATGTAAACTATAAGTGGAGGTTCTATAATTCTCAATGGCAGAAAGTAGAGATGACTCATATAATTCATCACCAGAAAACTGTACCTAGTTTTTCTGTGCCAATAACTTCTTTATCATGCTTCTTTTCCCAGAGTAAAAATCAAACCATTTAACAGTTCTACTGGAGTCTTTTCTACAGGCTTGACAATTCACTAAATCATGAGACTAAACAGTATGTGTGGTATGCTTTTTCTAAAATTATATTTCAGCAATGTTCAAAGTAAAGTCTTAATCTTTGAGCCTCCCCCTTTCTTTTACTCGCTCCAGAACCTTCCATTAGCAATTCTGACTAATTGAATTAATATTCAACTCTCTTTTCTCCTCTCTTCCTCTTGTTATTGTGGGCAGGATATACTTCCTCTCCCCACAGATGGTGACTTGATCATGTGACTTGCATGCGAAGGTTAGCACAGTTTGTGATTCTTGTCCTGTGGTTATCAGCCATGGTTTCTTCCTAGCAATAACTAACACAACTAAGCATCTTCCTCAAGTTCTACATCTTTATATAACTGGAAAAAAAATAGACCTAACTAGCTGCTTTGTCTTGTATCTAAATTATTCATCAACAGAGTTGGTAATAATTTATATTGCTTTGCTATTATCTAGAACACTTAATGTAAACCTCCTATTTCAACTGTTCATAAATTTGTATTTAGTAAAAGATAAATCATATCACATAGATCTTAATTTCATAATGCAGAGAGGTACTGTTTCCTATGTCTATACCAAAGTTACTTAGAATGATGCTTTAGACAGAGAAAATACTCAAATATATGTTGATCAGAGTCTATGAAATCATTATCAAATCACAGAAAGTCTCTTATGATTCTTAACTGGATAAGTAATTGATTTTGTTTCTTTTGCTCTCATACAACCAATTTCCTAGCAAATATTAACAATAACAACCCTTACCTTTTGGTGGAAAATAGGACTTGCTTTCTGCTTTATGAGGCCAATCTACTACCAAAGGCCCAAATCTTCTGAAGCTAGCAGTTATTTCATCTTAAGAAAGTAAAATAATAATTAGTTTCAGTGATTCGTTCTAAGAAATTCTGTACTTTTACTATGAAGATTAACATCTTAAAAGTGTCAAATACCTCAGGATAAATTAGAATATAAACACTGGGAATATGTCTAACATACTTCAAACTAACTTCATTTTTAAGCAGTGCACTGGCTAGAGTAATCAATTCCATGTGAATTTTAGAATTTTATATAATATTGATGGATACTACTTTATAGTACACCAAACCAGAAACAGCACTGGCTTGAAAAAAAGTAAACATTATATAAGTTAAATCTATTATTGTTTCACAAATAAAATCATTTTATTATAGGAAAAAAGGTCTGCTGCAAGACTTGAATAACTATAACGCTGAAAAACTATACTAGGGTTTGATACATGCAGGGTAGTTTCACTGAAGTCCATATAGGTTAAATCCAATGATATGTTTTATATTATTTCATTACATGGAAATCTTATGAAGATCAATACTTAGAATAAGTTTGTAGATATTTGAATCATAATTTAAAAATTTCTTAAAATGTAAGAGTGACACGTCCCATAAGCTCACAAATATAGCTTAATATTTTAAATCTTCAATTAATTTTCTTTTGTTATAATTACACATGATCATTTTCACATACAATTATTAGTGTCTGTGGAACCCTAATTTCCTATTCATGTTCTGTTTCCATTTCCCTTTTGGGTTTAATAGCCTCTTTCTTCCCTGTTTCTAAGAGCACATTTATCCTTAAAGAAATTAAACTTTTGATTATCAAGCATTGCAGATATAATCTTATGGCTGGTTCCATTGATTTCGGTGTGTGTGTGCATGCACACATTATGGTGATATAAAAAGTTTTAAGTTGTATATACCTAAATAAGTTATTATTTTAAAAACAAATAGAATAGGACCTAGGTCATGAAAATCTTATTTAGAAAAAATGCCTGTAGTTACAAATATTATAAGATCTAAAGAAAAAAATCATAAGTTATTTGTTCAACTACTTTCATATTTTAACAGGTGATAAAATATTTTAAAAGATGAAAATGCATTCTAATTCTGAAAATCTCTAGGTGGTAAAAATCTTCCATAACCCATTCACATTAAATTTCATATTTTTTTTGTTTTTTTTTTAAGCCCAAATCACCATCTTAATAAATATCTTAAAAAATACCTTCATCAATATCTGGAGGAAGACCACCAACAAAAACTTTTCGAGAGAAGCGTTCTATTCGCTCCCCATTTTGATGAGCTGAGTAACATGTGGGCGAATTTAAAACTCCAACTTGATCGCTGTGACCATCATCGAGCAAGCCATCATCTATTGGAAAGAGGGAAGAACGACCTAGAATATAAGAACAAATATAACTTGAATCTCAGATCTGAGAAAATGATAAATTAAATTTAAGCATAAAAATACCAATGACAAACTGAAAGACTTAAAAATGAAGGTGATGCAGGTGAAAATAAAAATTAAGGAAAATTTAAACGGTATGTGGTTTTAATTACCTGGACTCAAGAAAAAGCAATCTAAAGAGTGATTTAGAAATAAACATATTTCAACAATTAAACTGCAAAAGAACTACTAGGTCACTTCAACTTGTTATGAACAGCAGCAAGAACCTAATGTATGAGGACAGTTAGACTGGATGTGAAACAGGAGAAACTTTTCAGAAACTGGTGGCAGAACGGAAATGACACAAACTAAATAGATAAGGGGATGTAATTTATAAAAAAAACTTGTAGACTACAGTAAGTAAGGATAAAGGAAAAAAGTAATACTTGTATACAAGGTCTGGATCTAATTTATTACACATGTGCCAATTATATGAAAGAGTAGACAGGGCTTCTGCATATCTGAAAAATAGAAAAGGGTACCCCCTCCAGCACTTTAGTGACATTTGAGCCCACATTTCAGGAGGTAATCCTTGTATAGGACAAATACTGTACAATCTTCTGAAGTAATCCCTACTCTGTGGGGAATCCCCCCACAAAACTTAAATGACCTAATAGTCTCCTGCTGTCAAGGAATGTACATTTAGAAAGATAAGATTTACATATGTAACCATGGTACACATCCAGAAGAAAGCTGCTAAGTGTTCAGAGGACGTATTCTGGAGGACAGGAGTAGTGAGTCTAATAAAAGAGTAATTTCCTAAATCTCTAAGTGAAATTAATATTATTTGTGAGAAAAAGGGAAAAAATGGAAGCACATAGTGAGGCATTAGAGAGGGTAAAATATCTACAGGTGGAAATATAGGAACATGGTTTTGAGGAAATTTTCCTTTCTTCCAAGCGAAAGAAGAAACATGAGAAAAAGTAGAAAAAAATCGAATTTATTTAAGAAATAAGGAATAGTCAAGGTTGGCTGAAACATGTAAACAAGAAGAGTAAAATCTAGAAAAGTCCTTCAAGGCTAGCTAGAGTATTTAGTGTTGAATGCCAGGCTAAGGAGACATTTAGTAGGTGGTGAAGATAATAAATTGGATACAGGGGTTCAATCAAGATTATAGCTTCGTCTGTATATTAGGGAGACTTAGAAAATGTGGATAAGGTAGCTGGAAATGAGCAGGTCAGAAGCTGTGCAAAAATCCACAAAGAATGGATGACATCACAGGCAGACAGGAAAAAAAAAAAAAAAAAAAAAAAAAAAAAAAAACCAAGGGAAAAGAAAGAATGAAAAGGAGAGATCTAAGGAAGACTTGAGAAAATGGTAAGAATTGTTAACCAATATTAAGAACAGTAGAGACCAGAAACTTGTACAAGAAAGGAAAATAATTTAAGCTTTAGATAGGTAAAGTTTTATATACTGTTAGGATATTCAGAAGCAAATATATACTAGGAGGCTGAAAATGAAGTGGAGAAAGGAAATGTCATATTTCTGAGAAAATAATTTGAAGTCAAGTACACATAGGTGATAGTTTAAGGTTATTTGCAACATCAGTGATAAACACTCCAATGAGAAATGATGAAGACAGCTCCTCAGGAAACTTACAAGGAAGATGCAGAATATTCAAGGAGCTAGAGAAAGGAGTGGTAAGAAAAGTGAGAGAGTAGCCAAAATATTACTGTGATAGAAGTTCCAAAAAAGTAATAAAGAGCAATTAAGTAACAATGTGAAATATTAACATAATTACTTCTAATAATGATCATTGTTTTTAAGGACATACATGATTTTGAAGGTAGCAGTCTCAGGAAAGTTGGGTAGGAGTCATGTTGCATGTATTTAGAGTTTTATTAAGCATCGAGATCAAATGAAGATTAGTTCTTAGAAGTATATTAGAGAAGGAAAAACCACAGTAAGAATATGGACAAATTGTTTTGCTTTCAATATTAAGTGAAGGATGTTTTTGGATAAGAGACAATGCATATAATCCATTAGCAGCGGTCACCAACCTTTTTGGCACCAGGAACCAGTTTTGTAGATGACAATTTTTCCTCAGCATGGGGATGGTTTTGTGATGAAAACGTTCCACTTCAGATCATCAGGCATTAGATTCTCATAAGGAGCACACAACCTACATCCTTTACGTGTGCAGTTCACAACAGGGTTCATGCTCCTGTGAGAATCTAATGCCACTGCTGATCTGACAGGAGGCAGAGGTCAGACAGTAATGCTCACTTGCCCTCCACTCACCTCCTGCTCTGTGGCCTGGTTCCTAACAGGCCAGTTATGTTGGGTATCTGTTTATATATTAAACAAACTGGCCACAGTCCAAACCATTTTATGTTGGGTCTTTGTTTATGCATTAAATCACATGCCATAGTTTGGGGCATGTGATTTAATACATAAACAAAGACCCAACATAAAATATCATTAATATGTTATCTTGAAAAATATGACATATGATGCAAGCGATAAAAAGAAAGACAATTAGAAATGCGACAGTCTGAATAGAATGGGTTGGGGACAAGAAGGAAGGGACCACATGCCTGTGAGAGTCAGGTAGCTAGCTACCTAGATGTTTGACATAAAAATTTAGTTTAGAAGATATAACAGGAAGAAAGATGTTATTTAATATAGGAAATGAATTATTTTAAAGATTAAAATGTTGTTTAAATACAATGTTCTGAAAAATACTCATGTTCACTGAGTAACTTTGTGAATATTGCTTAACTTTTTAAATACCTCTGTTATTAGAAATAGGAACCTAGGGAAAACAAATGTCAGTATTTTTTGTGATCAACAGAAACTAAATTCTTCAACATTTAACTCTTTTTACTTAATAAAATGAACATCAAGATCCACTAAAAACAATATTAATTGTGAACAACTGGTCAAACTTTTAAAGATTAGACTTTAATTGAATGATTCTCTATTTTAAAAGGAGTAAGATAAACTTATTAAGGAATAAAATCATGAATCCAAATTATGTATTTATTTCAGAGGTACCAATACTTTGGAAAGTTTTTAACTTTAAAAAGTGCCCTAATACAAGTAAAAACTTAGCAGTGTCATAACTACAGTAAGTATTTAAATGTCTTTCTAACAGACATTTATGTTGAGAAAAAATATGGATCACAAATACTTAGGGTCTACATAAAAAAATAAATGCAGTGACAAAAGAAATCACACTATAAGCAATGCCAAAGAGAAAAGTGACCCCAAAATGACCCAAACTTTTTGTTTACTATAATATTATACTTAGTATTCATATAACTAAAAACATCTATAATCTATGTGTCTATCATCTATTAACAAAGTTCAGCTAAACAAAGAATGTAATGAAAAGATTAAGAACATTTCACACACTAGCCATACTAACAAGAATCTTCACTGTTGGACAATAATGACTGCTTTCTTTCAAGAAGTCATAAAAGCTACAGATTTAAATACTCATTTAAAAGAGGAGTTAACTCAGTATCATCAACAAAGTGAGACTTTTTACCTTGCTGATTATTCTTTTATCATATTTTAAATTAATATGAGAATAAAAGGAGAACCATTAAATAAGTTATGTCTACCACTGTAGTGTACTTTAACATGCTTTCTAAGAATGATACCACACATATGTTTTTATGTTCTTACACCTCAAAGGAATAAAACCAAACGGTAATGAAATGCAACAGTTCTGTGGAATGCAGCAAAACCTATGCTTAAAGGAAAATTCAGTTTTAAAAGCATGTTAATAAACAAGACATGCTTAAATCATCTAGTTTCTACCACAAAAAGCTAGAAAAAGAATAGCAAATAAAATACAAAGAAAGTAGAATGAAGGAAATAAATAAAAAGGAGACATAAATCAACACAGAACTTACAAACATCATATGTACTAGACTTTTTAAGAAGAAAAAAATGCTAATTTTATACAAACTCTTTCAGATAATAAAGAAAGAGGAAGTACTTCTCAACTTTTTTTTCACAATTCCAATACTAAAATCTGACAAAAACATAATAAGGAAATGAGACCTCAATATCCCTCATGAACACATACGTAAAAATCCTAAAAACTGTATTGGCAGAATGAATCCAGAAGTAGATAAAAATGAAAAACAGATCATGAGTAAGTGGGGTTCACCCCAGAAATATTAAGATTAATTTGTCATTTTAAAATCAATTACTGTTAATTGTACCATATAAACAGACCAAAACAAAAATGCCATAAAATCATTTCCATAAATGTAGAAAATGCATCTGATAAAATTCAACAGCTATTCATAATTTAAAAAAGAAAAACTCCCAGACAACTAGGAGTAGGAATAAATTTCCTTAATCCGATAAAGAGTATTTAAAAAAAAAAAGAGAGAGAGAGTGACGGTCTTTAATAATGAATTATCAAATGCTTTCTCTTGAAAAGTTTGGAAGGATGTTCACTCTATTTCTACTCAGCATTGTACTACTGGAGGTACAACTAGTTAAAGAAGATAAGAAAAATAATTTAAAGTCATGAATACTGGCAAAGAAAAATAAAACTATTTTCTATAGACATAATTGTACATGTAAAATTCCAAGAAATCAAACTAGTAGAAATAATGTATTTGTCTAGGGAACAAAATGCATAGCCAATTTACAAAAACCAATTTATTTCTAAATGTCAGTAATAAACTGGGAAAAATTTTAAGTATCATTTTCATATCTCATCAAAACCCACCAAATACCTACAAATAAACTTAATAAAAGATATACAAGACTTTTACGCTGAAAATGACAAAAATTTGCTGTGGAAAATGTTAAAAGAATAAAATAAAACAGGTTATGTGCAAATTCTTTCCAAATTATCCAATCTATAGATTGGACACAATCCATTCAAAATCTTAGCACATTGTCTTCCAGAAATTGACAAGTCAGTTCTAAAATTTATGATAAATCCAAGGCCTAAGAACAATCAAGGACAGCACAGAAAACAAACAAAACACCAAAATTGGAGGATTTACACTACCAAGTTTCAAGGCTTACTAGTTAGCTAGTTACTGAGACTATAAAACTGATAATGGAGTAGACAGATAAATGTTTAACATTATAGAGTCTAGAAATGGGCCTATACATATATAGTCACTTGATGTTTTTCAAAGGTACCAATGCAGTTCAGTGTAGAAAAGTAAATCTTTCCAATAAATGGATTTCTAGTTGAGGGGGAAAAAATAACTGTGATCCCTATATCACATGATGCTGAAAAAAAAATCCAAGAAGGATTACAGGCTTAAATGTAAAAGTTAAAGCAACAAAACTAGAATTTCTTCATAACCTTGGGGTATTGATAATTTCTTGGGAGGTTATAGGTGATTACTAACTCTGACACTGGAGGCTACGCTAATGTTACCAAACATTAATTTAAAAAACTATCAAAACAACAGAAGTACAATTCAGATTGATCTCTTTTCAGCATTATCTGCTTAATCAAATAGACTCAGATATGCTTCTGCAAAGAACTGAGAAAGGCACAAGGTACACTAATGGCTTAAAAATATTTTTCCAGTAGGTTTGTAACTTTCTTATAAAGGATAAAGAAGATATTTTACTTAAAAATTTATAATTTATCACCTTATATGTCTTTACAAATTTTATTTAATTTCTAGATATATTTACTTTAAAATTTGGTTTACTAAAATTTGTTTCTGTAAAAATTAATATGGCTGGGTATAGGTGTAGAGCAGGTACAGTCAGTCTCTTAAAGGTTAGGGAAGGGAGGTCGGCACATTTTTTTCTATAAAGGGTCAGTATTAAACATAATATTTTACATTTTGAAGGCCAGACATTTTCTGTTAGAACTACTCAACTGTGCTATGGTTGTAGTTCCAAAGCAGCCAGACCAAAGTCAATGGGTAAATACTGGCTACATTTCAATAAAACTTTGTTCACAAAAACAGAAATTTTGGCCTGTGGGCCATGGTTTGCTGACCCCTGTTCTAGTGTTACCCGTTTTTTTTTTTTTATGCTTCAGAGATCTTGCCCACTGTCTCACAAATATTGAAAGTATTTATCAAGGATTTCAGCCTTGATTTAATCATAAAAGGATCTGGCAGTGATGATACTAGGGAATGTACAATTAATCTGGGTACTTACAAGATTGTTGCAAATAAAAAATCCTGGGTCAACTTTAAAGCGGAATATAGCATACTATATTATTAATAATTCCTTATTTATTATAGCACATAAGTTTGAATGGCTATACATTATGAATAAATTGAACTTCTCTAATTAAACTTCCATCATTTGTCTCCCTTTAAAATTATTTCTCCTATCTTCTTGTCTCATACATAATCTACTAACTCAAATTTTGGGTTTACTTGCTTAAAAGGATTGCCTCCTGAGGCTTTGTACCATTAACTAAAATAGGTTTTTATTTCTATTACTAAAAATATTCTACATATTTTTATTCCTTTTGGAACACAGTAACCATTTAATCCTTTATTAAAGGAACTGACTGTGCCATAGAAATAGTTTAAGTTGAAAGGATAGAATTTAAGTTACATTTCACACCTCCCTTCAATCCCAAACAAGAATGTTCACTCTCAGAATGGAACAGAAGAAACAATGAATAAAAAATAAATACAAATGACAAATAGTTTTCCACATACTAACTGTCAGCTCCCCATGTGAACACTTCTCCTTCCTAATGTTGCCCATCCCGTAGGCAACTGCAGAGTAGAACTCTTTATGGCTCCCAGGGGATAGAAATACGCAGTAGAGGCAGTAGGTTTCAAATAAAAAGCAGGGAAATAAATCTCTGCTTTTTGTTTACTACTAGTATAATTACATTTTGATTATTCCTAAAGTATATTTCATAAAATAATATCTAGAGCTAGCTTCATTTAAAGTTCTTATTGACATTATTAAGAAATTCAAGTATATAAAGTCATTTTCATAGTAACTTGGTTTGACTGCAGTCAAGTGAGAAACCTTTTCAATGCAAACAGTTTCTTTATGCCTGGGCTGAAAGAAGAAGAACAGTTCTTCCTAAACAGGACTACAAAAGTCAAAGTCAGAATGTCCTGTGAAAATAACTGTCCACTCATCATTGCACTGGTAATAGAGCCGTAACTTATTTTTAGCAAAAATTGTATCAACTCAGTGTGACACACCCCACATGAACAGAAGATAAGCAATTCATTTTTAACAAATAATGACTAAATGCAGTTTATTTGATGGATCAAATCTAAAACATGAGGCCGTAAAAGGGGGTCTTTGGTGGTTAAAAGGTTATCAGTCTGAGGTTTATTGTATCTAGCATGGAATAGGAAAAAATAGTTTAAAAAAGAAAAAAAAAATAAAAAAGAAAACCAGGTGACTAACCCATTTCTGAGTTATTCCTTTGGTATGCAGGTTACAAAAAAATTCATTACTTACTGCTTTAGTGTACTTTAAAATTCAGATAAAATCTCTCAGTAGTTATTTCTAATGGGTATGCTTTTCACATGATTCTCACAATCAAAATTTTAAAAGATGACTACTACTTTTCATAGAAGGCCAACTAAAAATTTACCAAGATCATATAATCTGAGATGAAAATTTGGACATTCACTTCCCCTTATGCTAAGCCAAATTGTGTGACAACCAATTGTGTCCTAATGGAAGCTTTTATCAGAAATCTTAAATCCATGTGAGAGTCTTCCTTATTCCAATACAGGAAGGCAGTTCTGAAGCTGAGTAATTCTTTATGGCTTCTAGGGGATAGAGATATATAGGAATGACAGCAGATGCCTATATAAAAGCAGGGAAAATTTTTTTGCTTTTTTTAAATATCATAATCATAATCTACAATTATTGAACTGAGATGAAGACAAATAAGATGACTTCCTGATACCTGGTTCCTAAGAACTTCTTAGATCATGATATTTACATGAGAATATAACAAATTAGACTAAACATAAGTCACAACAGTTAAAAGGTGAAAAATACATAACAAGGCAAAAATTCTGAATTGCTCTACAGTTTCAAAATACCTAAAAATCACAGATTGTAAGTGTGCTGTGTTTCAGAGAACTGAAGCTCCATTATTAAAGTTTCATAGTGAAAGAAGCTAGTCCACAGATTTGAAAACAGGTACTAAACTTCTAAACTTTCTCCCCCGTCTCAGCTTAAGTCTTTAGAAAAGTTGTTCAGCTTCAATTTTCTAAGTCTTGAGTGTCTGTCTCCTTTTGGTTAGAAAACTGAAGAACCAAAAGATTCAGTCAAGCATTTGAAGAAATCATATTTAAAAATTAAGTTAAATTCAGATAATCTGAAATATAAAATTGGAACCACTTAAGAACATAAAATACTAGTTTTGGTTGTCAGTGGTGGCAAATAATTTTGCTTGTTTAAAAAGTATACACATTCATGACTAGTTGAAAAGAAATTGTAAAAGTGATCAAAGGGCACTATTATTACTGTCTATCCTCCATGACTTAAGGAAAATATTTAGAGGTCAAAGAAAACCCTTTTTATTCAGTGTGGCATTTGCAATAAACCTAACAATATAAACATCATGATTAATGCTCATTTAGAGAATAATCTAGTAGCATACTTTTGTTTCCTCTCATCCCATCTACTTGTCTGCACATGGAAAAGGGAGAAGCAAAGTTTTAGCCAAAGAAAACGTCAGCCTCTTTCCTAGGAAGTTCAATAATAGTCTTGCATCACATAGTCCTCTTTCCTTAGGATACCATACAAGAACACTGTGGGGAATACTTTTGTGGGGGAGGGAAAGGAAAAAGGAAAGGGGAGAAGGTATGTGTTTGTGTGTGTGTATTAGAAAGAAAAAGAAGGGGTTATGTTCTTAGAAAACAGAAATATAGGCAACATGATTTCTATAAATCAGTTAACAATAATCTATTTGGCATGTGCTATTTTCACCTGGGTCAACACAAAACTGACAATCTCGAGTTGTAAATTATTTATCATAAATATGACAATCAGTTATACATTTAGAGAGTAGAAAAATTACACTTCATGCTACCTTCACTAATATTAAACATATTTAAGCAGACATCATTACTTTAAAAGATACAGAAATAACTTTAAAAATTAGAGTTAAATCTTGACAGTTTAAAAAGGGAAAATTTATTAAATAACCACAGTTAGTATGAAGATAGAGTTCAAAAGCTAAGAAATTTAAAATTAAGCATTTTGACAAGTGCTTCAAATCAAAATACAATTCTGTGAGTTTTCAGACATTGCAGAAAAATCTATAGTAATTAATTACAACATTGATCAGTAAACCCGATTAGAAAAAAATTATACCATAGCAAACAGAAATGAATTACCTCGTCTTCGCCCATAACTCCTTGCTGCATGTAAACAAAGGACAAATTGTAAAATGTCAGAACTAAAAATAAGCCCACATACACAAATATTTCTGATAAGAAAAGCTATGTGGGCTTCTGGAAATTAGTGCTACTTTGTTTTAAGAGCAATGACAGTGTCACCATATAACATTTGCATGTTTTACCATCCTACAAAGCACTTTTATTTATAGGTAAATATATATCATCTGATTCATATAAAACTCTGAAATTAACAAGAAATATACAATTTATCATTTGTGTTAAAATTCACAAGTATTTGTTTCATCTAATCAGAAATTGCAACACTTTACAGTTAAACAGCATTCCAAATAATTTTGCCAATGAATGGAAACAATTTTGAATTAAATGCTCATTTTTCTACTTATTTTAAAGAGTGGTATGGCATATATAGGCCAATAAATAGCTATTCAGATCCAATTCACATTATACCAAGCCCTGCATGAAAGCAGTGTTGGAAGATATAGATGAATGAGAAGATATACCACTATTAAACTGATACTCTGAAGTCTGTACAGATCAGACAGGATTTCAGAAATCAATCCATGTTCAAACTTGTTTAGAGAAGTTACTATAGCTAATAATGCTTTCTATCCTTTTAACACATGTTATAACAGCTATCTACTAATTGTTTATATGTCTACCTATGGGGTAAGAGGGATTCAGAAACTATCAACGTCATCATAGAATAGTACATATGGTAAATACCATAAAAGTATAAAGGAATTTCTATCCATGTTACTTGCAGTGGACATAATTTCTATGGAAAAAAATAACTAATTTCTTTTTCATAAGAAACTGCCGGTTTGATAAAATCCACAAATTGTTTTAAAAGAACTTCTCCCCACAAATTTAAATACACAATGAGTATTTTTACCCTGAAATTAATATATGAAGCTAAGGCAGAAAACCAAAAAAAAAAAAAAAAAAAAAAAAAAAAAAAGAGTGTTAAAAAATTAACAGTTTATGCTCACAGATTTTTTTCAGTCCTGGAAAAATTTAATATTGAATAAATCTCAAATAAAATCATGTGCTCAAAGTTGTCAGAAATATCTACCTTAAAAATATAAAACTTACAGATCAAAAGAAAACATTTCACATTATGAAATATACTCTTTCATTTTATACTAATGCTTTACTACAAGTGTGTGTATAACACATTAATTCCTCTTTAATAAAAAGTTAAGAAAAACAAACTTGTCAACTCTTAGTCATTTAAATTCTAAGAAATAAGTCAATAAAAGGCTTGTATCAGAACCTTTCTATATAAAACTAACTTCATTTGTATCTCTGTCATTCTATTGTCTTTATTTAGCTATATAATCTGCTGCACACTTAACCTATCCTTGAGCTCCAATTACTTCAAAGTCTGGCAGCTTACCTGACCTATATATCATTCCTCTGTCCTCAGATAGGAGTGAAAGTAGCACTTAGAATTTTGTTGTCTAGGTTTTCTAAATATAAAAGTATTTATAAAGCTCTAAGTGATGAGAGATCAACTGTGAACAAATCAGACTGACAGAAGAAATAGAGTCATCAAAAATAGACTCTAGGGCCACACGTGGTCACACCCATAATCCCAGGACTTTGGGAGGCCAAGGCGGGTAGATCACCTGAGGTCAGGAGTTTGAGATCAACCTGATCAATATGGTGAAACCCCGTCTCTACTAAAAATACAAAAATTAGCCAGGTGTGGTGATGGGCACCTATAGTCCCAGCTACTCAGGAGGTTGAGATAGGAGAATTGCCTGAACCTAGGAGGCAGAGGTTGTAGTGAGCTGAGATCGCAACACTGCACTCTGGCCTGGATGACAGAATGAGACTCCGTATCAAAATAAAAGAATAGACTACAGAAGAGTGAACAGTTGTATTAAGCCTAGAAATGGTCAACAGTTCCCAAAACACTTCACAGAATGAGTCAGTTGGGCTTCCTGCTTATCCCTGGGCATAGCCTAATGGTATTAATCCAGTATAAATTTGCTTTGCAGAATTTCATTCATAGGTGTAGAGAGTTGAAGATTTATAAAGCAAATAAAAATATTTTCATCAAATTTAAAGTCGAATGATGAATTATGAAGTCATAATGTGGCACTTAATTCCTGACCTATTGAGAAAATTAATGATATCATACTCAGTTTATGTTCTCAGCTGAGGCTACTCAATACTAAAATGGTAAAAATATGTATAAATTTCATAGCTTCTTAAGTTTCATTTCATTCCATGGCTTGAACATAATCATTTAGAAAATTTCTCCAACTGTCTCATACCTGAGGAATTTTAGAATCCTATAAAGAGCTATTCTACTTATTTTTTTGAACAACTCTCAGATTCCAAGTATCTACATTACCAAAAATAGAACTGACTACAAATGAAGCTAAACCATGTGAAATATTTCCTATTCCCTGTTATGGAAATAACTAATCTGCCACCATCACACTAAACAATGGTGTGTGTATTCACTTTCCTACCAATGTTTCTATGTGAATTTCTGGAGTATGTTCTATTGTAACTCTTAATCAGAATTATCAGAAAAATCTACCTATTAAGAAAAAAACTAAGTGACTTACGTTTTTTAAAAGACTTTTTAAAACACTATGTCCTTCAAACTCATTTAGAATATGATTTCTTAAAAGGAACAATTTGTTGTATAAAAATAAAGAACACTTATGAAGTGTTATAAAAACAACCTCATTTGTACAAAAATGAGGAGCTGGCTATTTAATATACATTACTGAGACAAGTATGTACTTATTTATTTAAAGATAATAAGAAGGCTTTGAGGAAAGCCTGAAGACAAGTGACTTTACAGTTTTGGTTCTGGTTTCCAAATCATCTTATTAAGGTTCTAATCCATAGCTACAAAAACAAAAAGAAAAACAGGATGATTCTAACATTCTGACTAGGGACTTTGTAGGGTTGTACGTATCGGCTCTCAGCTACAGCTGTAGTAACTAAATTACTTCAGCTAGAGGAAGGGATAGGCAAACACACCAAATCAACTAGAAATACAGGTTAAAGTTCTCTTGTGAGGAAACTCGAGACATTTTTATTTTTTTCAACTTGAAAAAGCCAAAACCAAAGAGAAAAATATGCTTCTAAATCATAATCCTTTTCAATACCCAAAAGAAAGTTTATCTCCTCCACTCACTCCAGCAGCATAAAAAAAAGAACAGATGGTTACCCCAGTTTCCTATTTCTATGACTGAATAGATGTATTTAGAGCATCTGCCTTCAGAAGTACAATTACTGAGTTAATTTTCTTAATTAAAAGATACACATAACTTTTTTCCTCTCAAAAGGTATAGTAAGCTCTTTATCACATACATAGGTGTATGTGGGTTATCACAGCAAATTTACGTTTCTAACTAGCTTGCTAATACCAATCCCACTCCTCCTCCTGGTCACCAATACTTCTGCTATTTGTTTCTGTTTTGAAAAACGACATGTACTAATAAAAATTTCAGCTATTTTCCTTGAGAAAGTGGTAAAGGAAGTGTAATTCAAATATTAATACAAATACTTGAATGTTACAGCATTTTGTATTGCTCTTTGCTACTACAGTAAGCAGTTTTTTTAAAAAGTACTGATAATAAAAAGTGTTTAGGATTTATACATTTAGAAATATAAACATACATCTTTCATTCTAAGTTCTGAAGTACTTCACCTCTGGTTTTAATATAATCTACACAATTTTATATAATGTGATTTCCCTAAAGTGCTTCTGGATGCTAAATACAGACTCTTCGACAAACTTGAATTCTTCAATAGTGACAGTCTCCAGCAGTCAATTCAATTTATATAGTATTTTTTTATTGTTTAAATTAAAAATACCTCTACAATCTCATGAAATATACACGTATTTATTGTACTAAACCATATATATATCTGAGTTAACAGACGCTTAGAGTTAAGGATTTGCCAGAGGCACTTCATAGTTTTACTGAGTTTGATCAGCTCCCTGGTTTTTATCCCATTTTCTCTTTCTTTCTTACTTAAAGGAATATTTAAAAGATAAACCATAACTGCTGATTAACTATTAGAGGTAGAATCATACAATCTTTACAGATATATTTGCTATAGTGGCTTAACAATTGTGACAGTATGTTTTGGTAAAGAAACTCAAGCCTAGAATCACTGTCAACTTTCTGTCAGTTCTGTATTTTCTTTTTTTTTTTTTTTTTGAGACGGAGTTTCACTCTTATTACCCAGGCTGGAGTGCAATGGCGCGATCTTGGCTCACCACAACCTCTGCCTCCTGGGTTCAGGCAATTCTCCTGCCTCAGCCTCCTGGGCAGCTGGGATTACAGGCACACGCCACCATGCCCAGCTAATTTTTTCTATTTTTAGTAGTGACGGGGTTTCACTATGTTGACCAGGATGGTCTCGATCTATTGACCTCGTGATCCACCCGCCTCGGCCTCCCAAAGTGCTGGGATTACAGACGTGAGCCACTGTGCCCGGCAATTCTGTATTTTCTAAGGAATGTTCTTTAATTGCAACAGTTATACATTTTAATGTGTATCTGTGTACAACAAAAGTCATCTTGAGTACTCCAGGGAGCTATGGCATCAAACTTGAGGAAACACTGCCTTAGAAAGTTATTTTACCTTTTTTGAGAGGTATTTTTTTTTTAAGAGTAATTTTACCTAAATTTTGTCCCAAGATAGTTTCTAACAAATAGTTCTGGTTTGTCTTTCTGCAACAACATAAAATGAGCCATCGCTGTTAGCTACTTATAATAGACTTAGAATGGTTTAAAACATCAGTTATGTTTTCTCTTAATTTTATATTCTCCAACACAGACATATCCAACTTCATGTATTTATAGGACATGATTTTTACTCTTTCAAATAAAGTTTTGTCACTGTTCACCATTACCCACTACTTAGCTAACACTTACTTTCAGAAACTGCTCTAAATACTTTACGTGAATAAATTCACTCACTTCTCAGAACAGTCCCCCAGAGTCAGGCAGTACGCTAATCTCTGTTTTAGACATAAACAAACTTGAGGCAAAGTGAAGTTAGGTAAGCTGTTCAAGGTTACATAGATAGAAAAAGCCAGCCTGGGCTTAAACTCAGATAATCTGGCTTTAGAATCTACATAAGCAACCACTATGAGCTAGCTACTGTTACACCACTACAAAAAAAAAAAAAAAAAAAAAAAAAAAAAAAAGGTTGATGCAAAATTTATTATTAAACAATGATTTTTAAAGTTAATAATATTAGTTTTGCCTGTTCATTAAGTAATGCAACTTAATCAAATGCCTAAAAGTGAGTTAAATGTAATATACTGACAAAAAACTTTTATAATTCAAAAAGTAGGTCTATGTACTATGAGATGTAACAATTTCTTTAATCAGCCAATAACAGTTAATAAACAGTACAAGTATACTAATATCACTTAATTCTCACATTTCTCAAGGAGACAATATGCTAAGAACATACCTGAATTACATGCAGTTAAAAATAGTTCAAGAAAAATATCCCCTTACCTTTTAGTATCCTTTGCCTAGTTCTCTCGTCAATAACCTTGGTGTCTACTAAAATTATTTAAATCCTTAATATTCAAGACTTCTTTAACCCACAAATATTCCCAATTATGTGATTCTTGTTTCACTCTCAACCAATGATCCGAAAGGAGTTTAAAAAAATTCTCTTTGGATCAAATTGTTCGTTTTCCTGATGTAAACACATTCCATGTCCTAGTTTCATTATCTTTTTCTCCCAGCTAGTACCTTGCCAGAAAAAGGTCACAATCTCCAGGCTGGCTTCCTGTACTGAGTATACATTGTGGCCCCAAATGACAGACTACTAAGAGTATTCACATAATACACAAAGTAGATTTGTCCACAAGATGCAACTCTTGCCTGAAATAAAATATTCTTTTTTTCTACCATGTGATGAAACACTCTCAACCTAACATCTAGATTATTTGTAAGGTCTTCTGGCAACTGACAAAAACATCAATTAATTTAATAATGTTTAGTATAACTAATAATGCAAGTTGCAAATACACTGTGGCCACTAAGCTCTTTGCTTCCATATTACTCAGTATGGCTCCAGTAGTAACCTGACAATTCTGACCACCACCATCCTGTAAGATTCTCACTAATTAGATAACTCAGTGCTTAGGCTGGCATGTGATAGAGAACTCAACAGTGAAATGCTGAATGATTAAATCAATCACTTATCTAATGTCCTGCTTCTTCAGCTTTTCTCATTAAAATCCTACTTACCCTGATCATCTCCCTACATAGTCTGGACTTTATTTTCATCTTTCTGTCCCTATAGCCTACTTAATATTAGTTCACATTGTCTAGCTTTACATGTATCTTATTTTCAGTCTTTGTTCCCCAACTTCATTGTCATCTTATTTTGAAAAAACTTTAGTTGAAAGAAAAGCCAAGCTATTCCAATGATATTATGTTTTTTAAAGTAAATATTAATACTATTGCTATTCTTTCCTCTTCCTATTTCCTTCTCCACACCCACCCTCTGACTTAAAAATACTCTTGTGAAGGATATTTTAATCCTCCATCTCTACTCCTACAATCACGGGTGTGCTAAGTACTGAGACTCTGAATGCCAATGTCTGTCCAACAGAAAGAAAGCAAACTTTAATAAAAATTTATTTATTCTTTTCCATATTTTGGTGAACTTCACCAGTAAGGTTTCTAGTTTGAATAAGTTTAGTGTGAGCACAATACTTACAGAGACACCAGTATATTCCTTATTTAACCACAAACACAAGTGCTATACTAAGTAACAAGTTCTATGCACTTTGCAAACATCTCATTTAAATGTCACAATAATGATGAGATTATATTCCCGTTACACATGGGGAAACTAAGGTAACAATAATCTGCTCAAGGTCATACCTGAAACTGGAAAGGCAATATTCAAACTAGGACTGCCTCCAACTTTGTGATCACTGAATTAAAGTCATACTGTTACAAATGACTGCTTTGCCAGCCAGAACATACTCAGATTGCTAATTCTGCCTTTTGTATAGGAATAGTTGTAACTTTACTTTTATACTCATAGAATGATTAAATTGTGTGTATGGAGAGGTTCAGAGAAACATTTTTAAGTCATCTTTATATGAATCTACTGGAAATATAAAATGTTTTTATAAAACTTACCATTTAACATCAACAGATTGTCAGTTCCTGGATGTGGGTAGCTCAATCGACCTTTAAAAAGACAGGAAAGGTGAGTTTGAGGACTATGGAGCTATTTGTAAAGCAAAACCAAAAACCCAAAAAACAACAACAACAAACAAAGGTGGCATAAAAAAGAAATTATTGAGTGCAGTATATTTCTTAAGAACTAAAAAGCTAATATTCAACTAAAAGTATATTAACTAAAATTATCTTGGGAAGCTGAAAACAAAACAAAAAGTTAACCTTAGTTCCTCTATCATAAGATTACAATGTGATTTGGGAGCAAGGCCAATAGAATAAAGCTTGTTTCTAGAAATGTATAAACAATGTATGTATCATATCTTAGTCTTGCAAATTTAATATGAAATGTGAAATTTTAAAATTTTTTCAAAGTTGTTTGTAATTTTATCTATAGATCTCATCAAAAATAAAACTCAAGAGAAATTCATATTCCTAAGTCAAAAACAACTAAAATGTTGAAATAAAAAATAAGCAGAAAAATTCATCGCAACTTGCCAATGTGGCTTTATAAAGTCATATTTAAATAAAGAAGTTTAATGAAAACACCTTAAATATATTACAATTGTTACTGAAAACTTCTTAAAAGTTTATAAATGATTAAAAATATAAAAATAAAAATATTAAAGTTTATGAGCATAGTAGCATAGTATTTTGTCAGAGTCATTCTTCAAAAGTTTTTTATTTACTAAATGCGGAGGGACAACAGTATTACAAACTGCTGTGGAGAGGAAAAAAGGTATGTGTGAAACATTCTGTGGTTTATCCAGCATTTTTACATTGTAACACTTGTTTGATAAATGCCAATAGCAAGGATGATGATTATTTTTAGTCTATTATAAAATGCAGGACTTTTCTCAAATGCCTGAATCTCTAATAGACTATTAGAATAGTACATTAAAACCCATTTAGGGGCTGGGCATGGTGGCACATACTTGTAGTCCCAGCTAGCTGGGAGATAGAGAAGGAAAGATCACTTGAGCCCAGGAGTTTGAGCCTGTAGTGAGTGCACCAATGCACTCCAGTCTGAGCAAAAGGGAAAGACCCTGTCTCTAACAAATGAAAAATAAAAAATAAAAATAAATTCAGGAAAATGCCTAAAAATTACATGACTGGGATTGCATTTTAGTAATTTTCAGCACAATCCCTTAAAAAACAATCAAACAAACAAACAAACCAGTATGATAGCACATGAGTAAAGAGTACAGATTAATTGCATCTACCTTTAACACTTCAGCAAGTCCTCTACACTTTACATTTCCATATATAAGACAGAGATTGTCTGTTGGCTTTTGTTTTGGTTATGAAATTAAAGAGTTTGATCATCTACTAACACAACAGTAAGTGGCAGAGATAATCCAACTTTGATACTAAACTACATAAATATATATGATAGATATACATACATATTACCTGTACATACACACACACTTCACCTGAGCTCTAAGTATGGACATTTTGATTTCAGATTCAACATAGTTAAGCAAAATAAGTGTTATCAAAAGGATTATCTACTATCTCTTTCTTACTTCTGTACTTCACACAGCATGCCATGAGTTAACTAAATGACCTCTCAAATAAAGTTGTCATACTCTAAAACATACAATAAATTTGTTGTTGTGACACATCAGTATGGAGTAAGAAATAGAAGCATACATATGGGAGGTAAACAATAAAGAGCCAGGAAGCACAGTTTTCCTAAACTGGACTTCAGTAACACAGAACATTGCTTTGAAGTATAATAGCTTATTTTGGAAATATGCCTATTTCTAAACATCTTGCTGCAGATGGCCAAATTTGGAGAACAATTTAAGGCCATGAATAAATTACTGTTATTTCTGACTTAAGATAAAAAAAAGTAACTCCTACAAAGTGGCAACCTTTATCACTGTTCAGCATAAGTTAATTAAATCTTTGATACTATTATTGTGTAGGATGCAGAGGATATATACATGAGTAGGACATAGTCTCATGATGTGGTAGGGGAGATAGACACAAATACACAATTTCAACAAAATATGCTAGGTGCTAAAAGAGGTATGTATAGAATGCTATATTAAAAAAAACACAAAAGAGTATGTCATGCCCAGGGATTAAGGCAAGACTTCCTGGAAAAGTAAATTAAGCAAAGCCTTAACATGAAGTCTAGCTCTACCTTGAAAGATCCTCAACTTTCAACTGTCACATAATTACTCTTTAATAGGTTAACTGTTCATTTATTTATCCCAAGATACAAAATATTTTCAGGTTAATAGTCTTTTGATATTGTGGCTCTGAATAGACTTTTGAAAGGCACTTTTTGTGGAAAGTTTAAAAGACATAACTATTTGCAAAGGAATACATATTGTATATAAATTCTAAAATAGTATAGCTTGATACCTAAGAAAATCTCAATATAGGTAGAAAGTATTCCAAAATGAAATTAGCAATTTAGACTCATTTTTAAAGATATCCAATCACCTTTCCTCTGCCACAGTGAACACATTAATGTATCTTCATAGGTTAAATTTTAAAGTTATATTTTACTTACGATATTATTAAAAGTACTTTCACTGAGAACCTGCCAATTGACAGTAAGAACTAACAGCATTTGAGGCTTTATCATGAGCTAAGAGCTTTTCTATATTCTTTATAACCAATTACTTATTCCTAATAATAATCCTATGAGTTAGGTATTATTATCTTCCCATTTTAATATGAAGACACTATGTCACAATAAGTTAAGTTGCCCAAGGTTATACCACTGTCAGGTACCACTGGTAGTTAGCACTGGCAGAACCTGAATTAAGCAGTTTGGCTCCATACTCTTGATCACTACCTTAATAATTACCTTATTCTGATAACGTAATATAAAGGTATATAAAGTTGGTTGTAGGACAATTTTATCTCTTAAAAAATTCATAGAATATTCTATAGTGTATTTGATAATTTAAGCTTTAATATAGAAAAAACTACATTACTATTAAACTAGTTTCTCCTTATTGCTTAAAAGACCTGTGGTGCAGAGACAGATAGGTGTACACGAACACCTACCTATTCCTGTCAATAATAAGGTCACCGAAGTTAGACAGATACAGAGCTTCCAAGAGTAAAAAACAAAAACCCAAAAAACTATACAGCCCAGCTTTCTTGTAGATAAGTGTACCCCTGTATCTAAGATCTGGCCAATGGGATATAAAGTGAAAATAGTATATGCAATTTCTGGGAAATACAGTATTCTTAAAAGAAAAGACCCTCCTTTCCTCTTTCTTGCTTGCTAAAATGCTGATGTGGTAGCTAAAGTGAAGAAGCCATATTAGACCATGAGGCAGAAACTGTGTTTTCAGGATAATAGAAAAATGAGATAAAAAGGAGCTTCAATCCATGAAAATCACCATACTACTCTAAAAGTGTTAATGATTCTGGTAAAGGAAACAAACTTCTTATTCAAGCCACTTAGGAGTTTTCTCTTGTCCTGAAAGAACCCAAGCTTACAGATAAGGTCCTCTAGTACTAAACTTGGGCAAATTAAATTTTTGGTAACCAAGTAATGGCTTATTATTGTGAAAATATAATAAAGTATAATTTCATAATGGTTTAATATATCTAACAAATAATGGGTATACACTAGCTCTTGGCACTGGTCCTTTTAGATTAAGATACTATGTAATTTAAAATAAGTAATTTAAAAAAATATGTATTTTTAGGTGTCAGTGAATAACTAGAGGATCTATTGTATCTTAAAAATTGTCTTATTTGTCTATTATGATTTCAAATAGTAATTTATATATAACATATATAGTCAGCCCTCTGTATCTGGGGCCCTCTGTATCATGGGATTCAACCAACAAATTATATTGAAAGTATAATTCCTGACCAAAAATATTCAGGAAAAAAATTTCCAAAATGTTCCAAAAAGCAAAACTTGATTTTGATGTGCACCAAGTGTGACACAACACTGAATCCACACGAATGTGATGTCTAGGCACTGTTTCAAGTGTAATAAGTAATCTAGAGATGATTTAAAGTATACAAGACACATGTGCATAGGTTATATGCAAATACAACATCATTTTATATAAGAGACTCCAGCACTGCCAATCTTGGTATCCCCAGGAGGTCCTGGAACCAGCCTCAATGGATACCAAGTGACAACTGTATAAAAAACCCTTAGTTCGTGTTAGCCACTTTAAATGTATTATTTGAGCGACTAAAAATACTAAGAAACATGCCAACTATAAACAACTCATCACTTGTTTAGACAAATTACCAGATTACTTTTAGAACAAATACCTGGTCCCTGATTCTTTACCATTTTTGCTACACTGACTTCTTTGCTGTACCTCAAACATGCCCAGTAATCCCATTTCAGGATCTTTCTACTTCCTTTTTCTACTTGAAATACATTTGCCCAGTTATGACCAAAGCTTGCACCCCCTCACTCCATTCAGGTCTTGAAGAGATGGCATGACAGATTATGCTATCTACAATAGCAGCTTCTTTCTTTCTCTATCCCCTTGATAGTATATTTTTTTCTTGGTAGTACTGATTATCATCTATTATTTTCTGTCTCTATACTTCTTTAAAACAGAAGATCCATGAAGGCAGTAACTTAGTCTCTTTTATTCTCTAGCATCTAAACAAAACCTAGCATATAACAGGCTCTCAAATATTTGCTGAATGGATAAATGAAATGTTTCATTCCACTATGTGAACTATGGACTGAATTAAAACCACAAATACCTTAATATGTGTTTGCATGTGTGGCATGAGAGGGATATTCTCTAAGAAAATGAAAAAACTCACAAGACTTTTTTTCAGCTTATTTCTAAATCTCTTACATATTAGAAGTTGTGCAGAGAGATACTGCAAAGTTACTGCTTGTTGCTCTTTGCCAAGGTAATTTTTTTTCCCTTCTCCACAACTATTTTTTTTTCTTTAATAAATTACCACAAGAAACGAACTCCAAACCCCTAATATTCAGTTAATGATGCTAACTCACTCTTCAGTGATGAGAAAATAGCTAAAGAACA